GTAAGTCCTATTCCTCTTATCCCCTCATTTCTCGTCGCGCCTAATTTATCTGGTTAAAAGGTGGTAGGAAAACATGAGGAAGTGTGTGTGTGCGTATATGGGTGGGTGGGTCGGTCTGTTGGTTGGTTGGATGGTCGGTGTCCTTGATTGCAGTCCTGACAGGATAGTTAACTTTTGGACAAAGTAGAATGCCATTGTCATCTCTCTCCTGCACTTTCGACGTTTCTTGCACTAATTTGTGACAGGTGAATTAGTTATTGGGGTCGACGATTTGAAAAGACAACTATTTTCGAGGTTGAAAAATCTTCTTCCATTTGAAGATGAGCCTAATTTTCTGCCAGATTTGTAGAGGCACTTTGGTTTTAAAACATTCTTAAAACAGGGTTTGTTTCTCTGCTTGCCTCTACAATAGACCTCCATCTGGTATCCTGTCAGTTAGAGATAAGTATGCTCTTCGATGTTGGGTACTGAAGACGTTCATAGCATCTTCCAGACAGTTAAAACACTTATCTGGACAAAAGAGAAGATCAACTATCACAATTGCATAGATATTTTAAGTGATTTGGCACATTTATCCGTCATGTCACGTATTTGTGACGCCAGTTCCTGATACGAAAAATGTGATGTCATGTGACATACATCAGTGGTGTGGGTTGCCCACGGTTTCTCTCTGCAAAGGTACAGGATCTTTCTAAAATGAGGTAGAACTCCCCCCCTTCATTCCCTACCCACTCTTGCAGGTAAGCCTCTCCATCCAGACCTTGAAAAGTCAAAATTTTTGCCAGCGTCACATAGTGAAGCCTGCATCCTTCTGTCTGCCAGCCAATGAAGAAGTGTTACAAGAATGGGGGTAGGGCGAGGATGAGGTTTGTCTTTTCCGTCCAACTTTAAAAATTAATAGTCAAAAGTTAATTCAGCAGAGATCCTTTGTCATCGATCCAACACTAAATGAATGGTGAGCCTCCATCTTTAGGTACCCTAGCCCAGTGGCTTAAAGCCACGAGAAGATAGTCGTATACACTGATGCTACAATTTCTATCCGCCTTCTTGATTGTCGGGATGCCGACTGACCCAGTGCAGATGTGTGTCACCATTGCAGTGTTTTCATTGACTTGTCAAATTGCTGGAAAACCGATGGCTGCGTTATGACTTGAGCGAACCCTAAAACAATAAAATAGCAAAAGTTTAATCAATTTACATTTGAGGTGTTTAAAACTGATCATATTTGTTTTTTCCTAATTTTTTTCCCTTTTTTGCTCTAAAGTGAAACAGTTACACGAAGAGACGGTAACCCTAGTTTTCACCACACCCATATTTTGCACATTCTCTTGGCTTGGGAAGTAATCACAGGTGTATTTTAATGTGAATCTCCTCTGCTCCATTTCCTTTAAATAAGGGAAGCAATGGATCAACAAGAAAAAAAAGGAGAGGAGAGAAAAAGACCTCGATTACTACTCTGGAGGTAAATTAATTTTCAACAATTTGAAATTCAACTTGGTTAGGGTGGGAAGTTAAAGGTGCATTTATTTGGACTTGAGTTAGAACAGCTGAAGCTAGAAGAGGGAGGGAGAGAGATAGAGAGGCCAAGGGCGAGATTGCAGAGGAGGTAGAGGAGAAGAAGGTGGCTTGATCTATGCCATCGCTTTATTTCGTCCCTTTTTCTCAGGCACTTTGAATTAAACTAAGGCTTGTGAGGCATACAACACAATATCGCTCCCCTCCTCCTCTCTGTCATTTTTAGACCTCAATCAGACACTTTAGCCTTTAACTCATATTTGACAAGGTGCCTAGTGCCTTCGTGACGCCGGGACCAGTTTCGCTGTCATTTTTAAGCTTGCCTTTTTTGAGGAAATTTAAAATTGAACAAAGGGCTAAAAGACACCATTTCTTTTAAATTCAATTGGAGCTAAAAATTTTTGACTGCGATTATTGGCATCCCCAGGGGCACAAGTGGATGGCATTAGATGGTGGCTAAGTCGTCGCATATGTCCTAGGTCACTTCAGCTACCATAGTACTACTACCGTTTGTGCTTATGTGTGTGTGTTTGATAATAATGGAACTTCCCGCGTATATCTTATCATATAGAGACCTTGACACCTCTAAGAGTGATAATGAAACTTCTAGCCGTAGTCAACCGGTTGTACGTCTGTGTGTCAATCCCGGCTGCGGTGGTGATGCTCGGTTCACAGTCTCGGTAGTAGTTCGTCTCTGTGAGTCTGTCTCTAGATGCTTGATCAGTGGTAATAGTACACACAGGGAAGGAACACGCACCTGTGGGAACTAGTCGTGAACTAGACAAGAAAATTAGAGCTCGTGAGAAACAAGTATATCTTCTAGCTTTTAAGCCGCGTCTGATTGAAGTAGACTGCTGAAGGACAGTTTAGCTAACATTTGTAATTCTTCATTTTCTACCATCATTTGATGACTTGTGAGGATACTTCTCTATGCAACGATGGGTAAATGGGGCTATAAAACATGGTGTCCAGTGAAAAGGTTACAGTTCAACTGTTGGTTTTGTCATGAAATCTACCAATGGTTGACCACATCTTTCCGCCTCAGCGTAAAGCCTGTGACATTATGTTTCTTTGCTATGTTACGTGCTCGCTCTCCATCCGACTGAAAATTTTACTACTTTTTATGCTCGTTTTCCTATCTAAATAAAGTCAAGCAGAGAAAGGCAACTACTGCTTAGTGGGTTCATGCTCGGTTTTTTTCCTCACGGCAAGGTACGAATCACGAGTTGGCTTTGATCCCAATGACTTCTCTACTGATGAACTCCTAGATAAAGCAAATTACATCGATTAACCTACTTCTGAAGGTTCTTTCATTTATTTGTGTCTAGAGGAGTCTGTATGCAATTCGAGGGTGAGGATTTATTTATTCCCTCAACCCTCTCATTTCTTTTTTGCCGCGCTTCTCAAGCGAAGTTATTTCCTCCGCATCACACATCCTTCCTCCCAACCGCCGTTTATGGCATTTTCATAACTGATGTATAAGGCAGCTACACGAAATTCTTAGCAATTTTTCCTAAATTTTGACCTGGTGCGCTTCCACCTACGAGTTCTCTCTTAATGTGAATTTAATTTTTTGCATTTTCTTAGTTTAATTTTAATTTCCTGCATTTAATTCCTCTCTGCCTTTTTGTAAGAAGGAGAAGGGAAGTCCTATACAGTTTTCCCATGTGCGTGTGCATGGAAATCATCAAGCATTAATGAGACGCTGCGGTTCCTCTCCCAAAATCGTATAATTTCCTCCCGTTTAAACCTTTTCGTCTCCATGCTGCTCTGCTTTTTTAAAGGTGTTCTTGTTGTTTTTCTTTGTACAGCCTTCTTCCTCTTTTCTTTCGCCCATTTTGTTGTAATTTGAAAAAAATTTTCTTGTTTCCACGTTTTTGTAAAAAATTTTGGGCGTCTACGGGATTGTCTTGCATTTTACTACTTTTTGGCGAACATGGTAAGGGACTGAAAGACAAAAATCGTGCGGGAGGTTGGTTAGGACCTCGGTGATGACCTCTAGCCTCTCGGATGCAGCTGGCTCTGGTGCGCTCTCTCCTACTTTCCTCGTGTTTCAACTCCGCTTTTCAGCAAAGCTTAACCAAAGTCGATGGAAGCGATTCGAGCCTGTCGGCTTCATAAAGGTTCCAAGGTTCTGGTAAATTCTTTTCAAATCCGTCTTAGAAAGCACTTGGCGAAAATGCAGTCCATGACTGCACCGTTTGGAGTCAACTTAAAAGATTTCGCTTCAGAGGGGGAGAGAGGTGAATCACTAAAGTTCTCACTTTGATGAAGCCTTTCTTGGATCTTGCCTACTGATAAAGAGTTATGTACCACGATTAAGGGGTTACTTGGAGATTGTCATGGGGAATTAGTCAGAGAAGATATCTTTTTAACTGGATGAAAGGGAGGGAGCTCGACAAGCTTATACTCCAAGTCACTGCAATGCAAATTTATGAAGCGTGTGGCTGTGAATAAAGTCCTCTTCCCAGTGACCTTCCTAATTAGTAGTCGAGAATGCAGACTTTGTAGCACTTAGAGCAGATGAAATGTCTTCGTACTAAACCACCATGACGTCAGTGTAATTTGCTTTGGTATGCAGTAAAGGTTGCAAGGATGTTTGGCTGAAAGTAATGCTGCACTTTAGGATAAAAGGAACTACCCTCTTAAATTGCAAATGCTTGCACTTGGTGTTGATGCCCTCGTCAAGTTCTACATTTGGACTGGTGTAGCGACTTCCACTCCAACCAAACAGCAGTGTAACTCCACTTTGGAGGATCACATTGGAAGAGGCAATGTCACTTTGAGTCCATTCCTTCTCTCTACCAGATATTAGGGATCAATGTACCTATTTAGCAACGAGGTCTGTTGTTGTCGTCGATATGGTGGAGTGGGAGGCATCTTACACCCCCCCCCCCCAAATCACATGCTTCAACTGAACGCCTCTTTGGTACGTGTTTCCCTTACTAGACGGTAGAATTTGTACTTCTTACCCTTTTGCACTTGAATTCTTAACATAAACATAATGGGTGTCTTTGAACTAGAATCCTATTCATACATTACTACCTTTACTTCCCCTTGAACTTGTGTTTATGATGAGTTAATAAAACATCTCTAACATTCATCACACAAAAATTTATAATGTATTAGTGTACTACTTGCTGAAATAATACAAAACACGCCACACGTCTTTGTGTCTCATCAATGAAAGACGTCGGCGATGTAATCCAGTGCTGCTATTAATGCATCCATTTCCTCCTTTGACCGCTGCTTTAGGCGGATTTGTCACTCTGTCTTTATCTTTCTACTTAAATCTGAATTCACATTTCGGGTGTGGTAGGTTATGCGATGTAAATGTACTTATGTTAATTATTTAATTTGCTGTACTCGGATTTTGGTGAATAGGCCTGATGTTACCAACACAAATCGTGACACATTTTGCTTTTTGCAAATAAACATGACGTTATGTTCGGAGAATTAAACTGTCATCCATTGTGACAAGTAAATAATGCTTCCACAGATGCAATACGCCCCTAAAACGTGAAAGTAAATAAAAATTAGCACATGCTGATCCCACATAAGACAACGTGCGTGTTCTTCTGAGGCGTATTAACAGGATGGACGTGAGCCATATTGTTTGGAACTTATTTTTCTGCATTCCAACAAGTGCATCCAACAAGTGTCGCATCAGGAGTCACCACGTTTAATGTGCTCAGTTCTCTCTCCCCTTGTGGTCCCTTTCCTGGGATTCTGACGCCTGCTTCGTACGTCTTACCCAGATGAGGTAGACGTATAATTATCTACTTGATTCGTTTTCTCACGTCAAAAATGTGGTTTGAACAGTGGTTTCACAGATCATAAGGCGGATTTGAATCTGGTTGGCAGCCTTCTGTGCCCCTTTCAAATATGTCAGTGCAATGGGCATGCAAAGTGTCTTTAATATATTTACATTAACATCTGATTGGAAAGGCGTTGGACAAATTCCGTAGCTCGTTTGTTTCTTGTCATTTGAAAAATCTCCCTTGTTTTGGAGGCATCCACCTCAGGCTGGTTGATGCATCCTAAAGGAACAAAAGAACGGTTGCACTTTACATTGCGACCATTTTGGACCAAAAGGGAAGGGAGGGGTAGGCCTTTGCCTAACTCACGCAAAAAAAAGGTTTTTTTGAACTGAGAACAATTAGAAAACTAGAGGTTGATCAGGGCCTCCAATAGGTCAAGATTCCGGAGGAATGTGACGATGTGGTTCAACGAGTCGAAAGTGTATGGCAGCGCCAATGCAGCCTAGTGATCTGCAGCACTGAATCATCGCTGCGAGCGTCTACCAAGGAAGGGGAAGGACAGGAATGAATGAATGCTTAAAATGCCTTGTGGTACCTGGCAGATTTACGGCTTTGCCATAATCCATGGTTTTTCAGCCTCAACTTCTTTCCCCTGCCTTTTTTCTCATTGTTGTAAGCATGCCATTTTCTCGTTGCGTGTTGTCAATCATCAGTGCAACTTCAATGCCGAGGCGACTAGTGAATATTCCATTGTGCTTTGTTCGTTGTAGTTTATCAACCAGGCGGAGCATTTCCTGTGTGAATTGTGGAATATTACGAAGGCGATCGTGCTTCACATTGTGGTTGACATGCTACGTTGAGAGAAGAGATGTGTGGTAGTGAGTGGGACGGTGAATTGAATTGGAGTTGCTTGTGCCTTGTAGATGACTGGTCAGTTGGAGAGGAAGAAAAACCAGGTAGGCGCACAATTGAGTAGCTCGGATACATGCATTGCATAGGTGTGCCTGTTTGTAGGTGATGGGAGACTGGGTGTGCGAGAAGGGAAGGCGGCGGAGGAAGGAACGGAGACGAGGGTGAATATGGGTGGGAGTAAGAGTGAAACCGTAAAGGTGAAGACAAACAAGAACTGGGAAGGAAATATGCAGGAGGAGGAGAAGGAGGAGGAAAATGAGGAGGAGACGCAGGTGGTTGAGTTTGAGGGGAAGAAGAATGCAGGTGAGAAGGAGAAAAAGAATGGAGAGTGTTTAGTGGTGAATGTGGACGTGAAGAAGGAGGTAGAGGTGGAGTTGGAGGCGAGGGCAGAGGTGGAGGGGGAGGCGGAGGCGGAGGAAAGAAGGACGGAGGTGATTAAAAGAGGAGGACAGAGTGGTTGAGGCGAATTCAAGCTCGTGTAAAGAGCCGTCTCTGTCTGCCACGAATGCGTGCTTGTGTTTTAAAAACGACTGAAACGTTATGATGGAATTCGCACGCAGCATCATATTGTAAAGACATTCCAAATATGTGCAGTATCACCTGGTAAGTAGTTTTGCATTTGAAATCACCCGCCTCGCAGAGAAAGCCATCCACAGCAATGAAATTGGAGCACCCGCGCATGATGATAGAAATTGATTGGCCCCCTATTATTGCATTGATTAACGACACTGGTGAATTCACAGTAAAGCACGGTGGAGAATTGAGATGCAGTAAATACAAATAATCCCCTTCCAT